TTCAATTTACATGTTCACAGCTATCAAAGGACATCTTAGAACAAAGAAAATGTAAGTTGAAACTGTCCAGGTATGTATGTATTCCTGCAGTGTCCACCACTTTTGTTCACTGTCACGCTGTTTCAATTTACATTTTCACAGCTATCAAAGGACATCTTAAAACAAAGAAAATGTTAAGTTGAAACTGTTTAGTTTAGGTATGTCGTCCTGCAGTTTCCACCACTGTTTGTTCACTGTAAAGCGATGTCCCCGCCCAAGCTTTGGGGGAAGGTGTCCTTCCTCGACGCCGTTTTGCAGCGCAGAAGGAATCCACTCTCCCCACCCACATCCAATGCAGGCAAGACACACTCAATCACCGACTGCTTCAAAGGGGGATGGGGGGTTGAAAATGTAACTACACATGTCGGAGGCAGGAAGTTACATTTTTAAACCTCCCTCTCCCCTTTTAAGGCAGTAAGTTACACACACACCCAAAGTGAGTGGTTTGGGGGGGGTTGATAAATGCAACTACAGGCCCCACACGTCCTAAGTTACATTTTTGAGCACCCCCCCAAAAAAAAAAACGTCAAGGGGCGTTAACTGACAATAAAAAACACCCCTACGGGGACCCCAGAAAATGTAAGTTACATTTTTGACGCCCCCCTCAAATCCATGGGTCAGGGGGTTGGGATAATAAAAGTCATGATCACGAATGCATGAACGAAGAAACGAACGAGAACGGGGAAGGTAGCCCAGCAACTAAGCACACCGCCATGGGCGCTTCGGCCCAGCGCGGCCTCAAAGAGGTGAAAAAGAGAAGCAAAACCTGAGACCCTCTCGGAGCGTGTACAATCGTGACTATCGACTAAGAGGCTGGAAGTCGTGAGGGTGTGATATGTTCTTGCCCAAACAAATCGCGCCGCTCTCCCGTAGGATAGGTTGGTACCACCACAAAACCGCTCACCATTTTAACACGAAGGAGAAACGCCCCCACCTCAGGCGTTGATTAATGTAGTCCTCTGATTAATAAACGCCCCTAGAATAATGTCTTTGTTTCCTGCGCTGATTAACAAGGCCCCCAGAATAATGTCTTATTTTTCGGCAGGGATAGTTGTAGTGGAATATTTTTAATTGTTATCGTTTACTTTTTCACTTTTGATTTTGCTGGGGTTTGCTTATCTTACAGGCTTTTGGGTGGAGATTTCTATTAAAATTGGAGATGTCCATTCAGATTTGATGCTTTTGGAGGCTGTTGGATGGAGATTTCTATTCAGTATTTGAAGATTTCCATTGAGATTTGATGCTTTTTGACGCTTTTGGATGGAGATTTCTAGAAAAATTGAAGATGTCCCTTTCTTTTCCTTTTGCTTTGCTTTACTTGCATAAGCTCTTTAGTCTTTAAGCTTTCCAAAAGTTTCCAAAAGTCAGTGGACACTTTCTTTACAAAAACCCTTACTCAAAAGTATTGAAAAAAACAAAAATCATCCAAGCAAAGGGGAGAGTCAGCAAGCAGCTTTCTGACATTATTTAGAGGGGGCCCCTAGCATATGTCTAGAGATTTCAGGCCTAAAATATTTTGCTTTAAGTAAACTTGTATTCATTCCCTTTCTGTTCCTTTTGATTTGCTTTACTTACTGACCTAAGCTCTTTAGTCTTTAAGCTTTCCAAAAGTTTCCAAAAGTCAGTGCACACTTTCTTTACAAAACCCTTATTCAATAGTATTGAACAAACAAAAATCATTCAAGCAAAGGGGGTAGTCCAGCAAGCAGCTTTCTGCCATTATTTAGGGGGGCCGTCGAGATTTCAGGCCTGAAATATGTTACTTTAAGTAAACTTGTATGCATTCCCTTTCTTTTCCTTTTGATTTGCTTTACTTACTTAAGCTCTTTGGTCTTTAAGCTTTCCAAAAGTTTCCAAAAGTCAGTGCACACTTTCTTTACAAAACCCTTATTCAAAAGTATTGGATGCTTTTGAAGGTCCTTGGATTCAGATTTCCATTGAAATTTTGAAGATTTCCATTGACAGGAGCGGCTGCTGCTGGCGCAGCCGCGCAGCGGCAGCTTCCCTTCGTTGCACGCAGTGGCTGGCGGTCGAAGTCATGAACCCGAAGCGCACGGAAATCCTCAATCCTATACAATCACAGTGACGACAGGTTGACTTGCCTATCAGCGACCGAGCCGCGGCATAAGTCTTCGTGCATTTTGCGCATGATCAATGACAGACCACGTTTATGACACTGGCGACGCCCAACGAGCAACGCCGCGGCGGTTATACGAGCCTGCGCGTCTGGAAAAAAAGACCACAATGTCACACCTCCCGAATGCTGGGCTGGGGTTCCTGCGCCTGAAGCCATGCCTCCCACAACACCCTGTGGGAAAAGAGCCACATTCACTTTGAGGGTAGCAACGGGAACGGCGAGATCCTGAACATACAAGTAATCTAAATCATACTGAAAACGGCAGCACCAATTCAGCGGTGGCACCTGCCTCCCATTCAACCCCTAAAAACTAAGTTATTGGTCTTTTCAGCGGCGCCAAACCAATTGGGGGCCCATCCTGCTTGCTCACCTTTTGTCGAACCATCGGTATAAAGATGATGGGGTTCAGGCGCCTCAATTGGAGGGGACACTCACGCAAACGTCTGGTATCCACTATCCACTGTGGGAAAACGCTGAGAACAGAGCGTACACGTAAACACCTATATGGGGTTACCAAATCCGGATGACACACTGCACGCTCCTCGACATATGCACATATATATATATATTTTTGTTTTGTTTATTTAATCATTTATGGAATTGGTGTTGGTTCCCGTGACTGTTTTAAACACGCGATCACACACCTAACCGGGGAATCCAAGACCCTGAGCCAAAACGGGGACCTCACGTGGATGAACAAAGTCATCAGGCAACACTCGACCAGGGCGCCACCGATCCAGAACATTCTTGGATTCTTGGCCTGACGGGACGGCCTCGAGCACTATAGTTTACGCCAAGCGCCGTGGCTTTGCGCCAAACAAAACCAATCACCAGACAGGATACCGAAGCCAACCGCCCCGTCCACCCGAACAGCATTTGTTTAGGACATCTCCCCACCATCAGAATTACGACCCACGTGACCAAATCAGAGCAGCTCAGCACACACGATCATATCCTTAAAAGGGCGGCCAACCTCCGCCCTGCCGGATACCAAACCCAAGCTTGCACCGTGTCAACAAATTTATAAAACTGCAAAATTTGATTTGAGAAAGCTAGCAGCCAGCACCTAAACCCCTGTATGCCAAAATGGACGCTGCCGGCAACTGAGCGAGCGCGGGCACTTAGCCGTCTTTGAGCCCTTATACAACTCCAACGATGTAACTTGGGAGTGCGTCAGTGGGCCGGCATTTTCATCAAACTCCTCACTATGCGCCGCAAACGATTCCTCCTTGCCCCAGAAGACACAGCGCGGGCAACTGCCTGCTTCAAATGCCGCGACTGCGACGGAACCGTACCCCGTGCAACCTTCCGCTTCCTCGGCAAACGGTTCTGCCCGTCGAACACGACTCCTCCACACCCCTCAGCACCCAAAAGCACCGCACCAGGCAACTCCACTCCCGAAGCGCTGGACATGGTCGGGCCAACAAACACAAACACAATCAAACACACACCCACCGAACCCAACCCCTCCAGGGAAGTTACAGCAGGGCTCTGGCCAGGAGCGACTGCTGACCCCAACGACACAAAAGGAGGAAGAGGCACAACCAAGAAGAAGTGCACCTTTGGGCTTGCCTTCGGAACCCGACCCAGCAGCCAGACACCTCCCCCCCAGAAATCTTCACCAGCGTACCCACTCCGATTAGAGCCACCTGGTCCTTGCGGCCGAAGTTGCCCCGTAGGCCGCCCACGCGGAGGACTGTGAGCATATAGGCCACGAATGATGATCATGACCATCATGATCATCATCATCATCAACATCATCATCATCATCATCATCATCATAATCCATCATCCATTATCCATCAGCCATAATAATAATAATCATTGTCATCATCATAAGCCATCATCCATTATCCATCAACCATCACAATAATAGTAATCATCGTCATCATCATAATCGCATCCATCATAATCATGCCCCTTGGCAGTGTGTTCAGTGAATAATTGTTTAAAGGATTGTATTCTGATGCCAGGTCCTGCCATGCAATCTGGTCTGTATTTTGTAGGCCACGGCCTCGTCTTTCAAAAGATTTTGTTGCGATCGATGCTTCTGAATCTCCTGCAGAACAGGTTCCGTTGAGCGCGGTCTGGGCAAGGCGGGAAAGAAACAAAGTTGTGATAAGCCCCTCTCTCAACAGCACGCTGCTTCAGATGCACGTATGCAACATCTTGCTCCTCTAGCAATTGCGCAACGCGAACATCTCGCTCCTGCCAGGTGTGTGCTTGCTTCCCCATATTCTGGTCTCGGTATTCTATCTCTTTATACAATGTTGCAACTACATTTGCTGTGGAAAAAATACTAAAAAGTCAGTAAATAGTAAACAGCTAGTGTCTATTCTATCAATACCAGTATCTATCAATACAGTATATTGTTGTCAGGTCTTGCAACTTTGGTCTCCACCTACGTCAAACAAACACATTGTGCGCCTTCAATGTCTGCTCAGCAATCTTGGCTTTGGATTGCTCTGCAGCAGCTTCAGCCTTTGCGAATGGCATATGCTCAAGGCTTTGGGAGCATCCCTGATGCTCCCATCATTGTGGAACACATTCGAACTTTCTCTTCTTGGAGCATGAAGATTCACCCTGTTTCAGGTAGCCCACTGCTGTCGCAGCACCTTCAACTAGTCCTCTCTGGTTGCCAAACTCCCTAAACTCGAACCCGGCCTTCAGGCTAATGTAGCCAGCCTGCATTTCATCCACCTCCGCCTTTGCTGACATGGAAAGTATGATGATGCATGCAGCTTGCAAGGCTCGGTCTGGCCCGATCGGGTTAACGAAATCTGGCCTGCAGCCTAGCACGATGATCTTCCACCTAGACATTCAGAAGCAACTAAAGAAAACAATACGTGAAAGGATACGTGCCATATCAACCACATGACTCAATGGGAGCAGAATGCAACATGCATCAACCGCCCCAACCACCTTAGCACCATTCAATCAAGGACAACAGCACCTCTTGCCCAGCTTTGTCGCTCCCTTTTGGTGTTGGCTCGAGTCAATGAGGTTCACCCCCAAAGGGGCAAGCTTTAGACTATTTACAGGGTGCAAAGAACACAGAGCCAACGTAGCAGAAACAAAGTGAAAACACATGATCATATTATTGTTCGTGGCACTGGAATCTGTCCACACCTCCTGTCCAATTGCAATCAGCTTCAAGAATACCGAATCCAAGCTTCCGCTGGTGTTGACCCGGCTCTATCACGTGGACTCGAAACCTCATGTAGGCATCACTGCTTGATTTGAAGATCGAGATTTAGTGCTGAGCCTATTAGTCGCAAAAGCAGTGCCCACATTTGCTTGGCGGCTCTTCGCTTGCCAATGCAGGTCGGCAAAGGGATACTTCAAATTGATCAACCAACAAAAAATAATATTGCACATATCGTCTAGATTCGAGGAGAGCCTGTGTTGTATTCTGCATACTTCTACTTTTGTGGAATATGAAAGAATTGTATGAAGGTGCACTTGGACCAAAACTATGAAAAGCGCTGCATCTGTACGGGCAGCACAATTTACATCGAAATCGTAGTGCTATCATAGCTTGGTCCGAAGAGATTGTCTACCATCAGTCACGTCTGTCACCAAACAAAGAAAGGATGTACAAGAAGAGGTTGATGATGTCGAGGTAAATTGTGATGGCTGCCTCAGCCAGCTGAGACAAGTTTCCTCCCTTCTGTTCTCGTTCCGGTGCTTTGAGGCACTCACATCAGAATCGGATTACAACATCAAAGAAGGTGGACATTGGTATAGTCAGAATGGTTGTCGCACCATTAGAAATAATTCCTTTATTTGTCTAGAGGTCCTTAAAAATTTCACAATAAGTCAAGATTGAAATTTTCACACTCCTATGCTCAGGCTGGTGCCATCACGTAGTCTTCCGTTCCAAACTGGAAGGATGAGTGCTTGCCACCAATAATCAGCTGAGTGTCCAGGACAATGTAGCCTGTCATGTCCAAAATTCAATTGAATGGTCTACGTCTACGTCTACATTGACCCTACCGTAGTCAACTAGACAAACAAACTTTCAATGGGGACCATCGCTACGAGTATCATTGTTCTGAGCCATGCAGCAACGAATCAAAATGGGTAGACTGGAGCTGTTGGGCTGGCCAAAAGTTGGATCTGAGCTGCATAGATGTTGATAGGGGCGTTGCGCGGCATTACAATATGGGTTTGCGGTTTGCTTGACAAACTGTGTCGTCGGAGCTGGACGTTTTTTGAGAAACACCGCACACCAAAAGGAAAAAACATAGATTTGGATGATGGCTCGCACCTGTGTTAACAGCTGTTATCAAGTTATCAACATTTCTCAATCCTAACCAGGCCACCAGTGTCGGTGCTAGACTAACAAAGACATCCAAAGAGAGGAATGTACAAATATGTAATATGTATATATATATATATATGTACCCAGAAGTCAAAAAGATCCCAAGAGCGCAAAAAGCTGCATGCAGGCTTTTTCGAATGCGCTTTGGTTGATGCTGGGGTCCTCCCCCAGACCCTGTATCATTTAGTCTGTTTCAAACTGCCCTGGACTTCGCCAGGGGGGACAAGGGTGTGTCAGGCAGTAGGATTCGCCCGTCACTGCCAAAACACCCGAATGTCCCCTGGTCTCCCAGGGCCAACAGGCACCTGTCGAGGTGCCAGGGGACAGGGTCGGGAGGACAGCCCACCGGATCCGGTCACGGGATCTTGGGTGGGCAACTAGGAAAAACCCGTTGCGGACAAAAGTTTTGTAGCAAAAGGAAAAATGAAGAGAGTCTCCGGCGCCGGTAGCCGGCGATCTAAGGAGAATCCTTCAAAGTCCGGATGAGTCAATTCATCCGCCCAGGTGTTGTACTCCCTGGGGATGTGATTGGGAGCAACGCTACAGCCCTCACAATGAAGGAAGAGAACCAATTCCATTAGCAGTGCCGCCGAGTAAGGTTTCTTGGCCGAGAGGTTGAGCAGGCTGAAGATGTTGCCTGAGTTGTCACTGCCCACCGGGAGACGAACTCTTCCCGGCAGCTGGAGTTCCAGGGCAGCAGTGCCACCTTGAATGCCCACGGATGGGCGTCTGCTGTAATGGCATAGTGGAACCATAGGACCTTGTCCTTGGTGGGGTTCGGGGAGGCCGAGCACCAGCCCCCAACATAGGCTTCGCCTGTCTTTGATGCACTAGCATCACTGCATCCCCACCAAGGCGACTTTGGCAGGAAGGGTGAGTACTGCTCAAAGGGGTGCGTGAAGAGCTCCTTCAGGAGGGCAGCCAACATGCGGGCCACCTTGGCAGAAGCCCTTGTAAAACCCGGCAAGGTAGGCGTCTTCGACGTGGGCTGTGCCTGGGCCTTTGCCGGGGGCGTAGAAGGCAAAGAAGCCGCCGCCATGGCATCTACCGGATCACTAAAATACCCTGCCGGTAAGCCCGCTCGCTCAGTGATGTCCTCTTCCATCTGGTCGGCAGGCGCCGCCGGGCGTGGCTCCGCCGCAACAGGCCAGGCCAAAGGTGGTTCCGCCAGGGTCGTCAAAAGTGTGGGCTGGGCCGCCGCCGCCGATGGTGTAGTAGGGCTCGTCGTCAGTAGGTGCCACCCCCTCCACCTCTGGGCCAGAGGCACCAGGAGCAGAGGGGGGTTGGCCAGCGCCGCCATCGGCCGGGGCCTCTAACCCCAGGAGGTCCACACCCATGTCCGCATCTTCACGTTCCGCAATCTGGACCTTGAGTGCTTCCAGGTGGCGCTCCAACTCCCGGATCTGCGCCTGAGCATCCAGCTCAGAAACCAAAACGGGCTGTCCAAAAATGGCGAGGCCCCTCGCTCCTTCCGCCTCCGCATGACGGAGGGCTGCAGACGCAGCATCAGCTGCCTGATCCAAACTCTCCATGCCCGGGCTACTGATTGTAGTCCCATCCTCAACGTCTGGTTGGGCATCTCGCACTGACTCAATCATGACATACTCCGGTTCCATTGGGTGCGCCATTGCGTCGTCGTCAACAAGAACCAATGTACTAGGGAGTTTTCTTCCAACCTTCAGGTGCAATCCTGTGGATGATTGCCACCAGCTTGAGCCAAAATGTCCCGGTGGGACATTTTGCGAACTTCAGTGAACATAAAACTTGCATCCGCAAGCTACCTGCAAGTGTGTATATATATATATATATATGCAGTGTGGTGCTTGATCGGCCATACTCTGACTCATGATTTCGAGCTCATTGAAGGAACGATATAAGTCCTTAAAACTCCCTGAGCATAGATGAAGATTATCCAAAGTGTAGTTGAACATGAACTAATCCCGGGTACCTACTAAAAGACCCCTACCCATTAAAAAACACCACGTCCGAGTCCCTAACTTCGGCCTATATTTGCTTCTAAGTTGTCGCCCTTTCAAGCCGCTACTAAACGACCAACATGGTCGATTTGGGGTGTAGCTTCTTTTATTAGGTTCCAAAAACAACCGTAACTGCCCATTTGTCCGCCCTGTGCCTCCACCATGGCACGCCGCAGGTGTTCCTTCCTCCAACGGCACGGACTCACGCAAACGCACTTGCCACCGAGGTCTTGCAAAACTGCATGGCACAGCGACATCACCTTTCGAAAGCTTTGGTTGTTAGTCTAATGAAGAATCAGTATTCGAATAAAGGTTTTTGTAGGGGAAAAGGAAGACCCTTCGATCTGGAGGTTTTTTTGAATTTTTGATACGAGTTTAATAAAGGATTTTACATAAAATTCTTATGGATAACTTTTTGGTTTTGAATTTCTTCCTAGGTGACCCTATTTTGGACCCCCCCGATTTCAGGGACCCCCTATTTAAACAAATGCGACCGAGTTTCTCTTAATAGGGGGTGCGTTTTTTTAAATAGGTGGACAGTATTATTCTGGATTGCTTCAGAGACAACCACCCCCAATCCTGCGCTCTTTTGTGTCCAAAAATACCACCACGAGGTGCTTTCCTGGCACTGGCCTGAAAACAGCAGTGCGCCGAATCCTGCATAGAGCATGTAGACGGTCCTTGTGAGAAAATACCACATTTGACAGGGCTGTGATGGCGCTGCCATGCAAAACACTTTTTGGCAAAGTATGTTGTCCTGAATCCGCCCGTTTGACTTGCACCAAAGATGCTTGCTAGCGAGATGGCAAAGCCCAAACCTCCAGGAATGTGTAGCATCATACAGCTGACATCGGCACAACATTCTGGCATTGCATCAATCCATGAGTTCTTCCCATCAGTTCGCCATGAGACCAAGAAGAACCAACGTCGCCACAAAGAAGTACGGCATGAGACCTGCAAGCTCTATCGGATGTGACGCACCAATGCGGTCTCCAGCCCAGACAAGGTTCGAATGAGTATTTGTAATGTTTCATGGCCAAGAGGTGAGCTAACAACTTCAAAGGAAACAAAAAGGAATTATAGCAGGAAACTACTAGCGATGGCCTCCACCCTGGAAGCGATGGCCCTCCAACCTAATAGCGATGGCCTCCAACCTAATAGCGATCTACTAATAGCGATCTACTTGCTAGTTGTTAGCTCACCTCTCGGCCATTGGAGGCCATCGCCATTAGGTTGGGTAAGCTTCTAGGCTTAGACGCAGAAGGGCTCAAGCTTAATTCTAGATTTTTCGGGAAAACTTGAACTTTAAGCCCAATCTGACCCCGCCTGTAAAGTCATACTTTGTCTGGCACGCAAACAGCATCAACGCTGTGACCACGAAGGCAGTGATGCCAAAGGCAACCAAGACAGACTGCGCCTCGTTAGTTTATTTATGTGTATTTTAAACCCTCAGAGCCGGCCGTTTTTACATCTGTGGAATAGATATGGACATATTATAAATATGTAATATGT